CACACCCACCGATTTGACATTATACCGCCCCCTGCCGGAGACAGTGCAACTTCAGTTGTGTACTCTTCTCGCGGACAATCCGAGGAATACATCACCATGGTGAAAAAACATGGTTGGCAGACGAGTGTGTCCTTTGGCCAAAGGAGTGACCCCTGTGTCGGAATCTTCGCCAAGTTTATGAGCATTTTTCTTCCCCAGAAAGTGAACAACAACGTCGCCGTAATAGCCAACATGCCTGGACTGGACAGCAGTGGAGGCCGGCGGGTTGGTCATCGAACCGGACTAGACAATGTATATATTACCACAGATAACTCCACCTTGGAGAAGATTGACCCCGAGACATTGGAACCCCTCGAGTCCGCGGCACAGCAGCAATTGCACCCAAAGTTGAAAGGCCCGCTTTCTTGCGCACATGCTCAAAAGGATCCCGTCACTGGAGATTTGTTCAACTTCAACATCGATCTGGGTAGAAAAGCCACATATCGTATCTTTCGAGTCAATGCAGATTCAGGGACCACTGACATCCTAGCCACCACCGCAGAAAATGAGCTACCGGCCGCCTACATCCACAGCTTCTTTTTAACAGAGAACTACGTTGTGCTCTGCGTCCCAACGTCGCATTTCGGTTGGAACGGCCTCAAAATTCTATGGGAACGCAACGTCATCGACGCCATTCAACCATTTGACAAATCAGTGAAATGCAAGTGGTTCGCCGTCGACAGGCGGCACGGCAGAGGAGTCGTCGCCAGGTTCTCCACCCCAGCTTCCTTTTTCTTTCATTCAGTCAATGCCTTTGAGCAAAAGTCGAAAGGCAGCAATGGAGAGGAAATTACAAATATTTTCCTTGACATGGTTGAATACGTAAATACAGATGTTATGCACATGTTATATTATGATATCCTCATGAATCGAAATCAAGACGCCATAAAGGACCTGCGAAAGCGCGACAAGTATAAGACATCGCAGCCAAAGCTTGTTAGGTACAAGTTTGCACTACCGGCCCTCTCCCAAACGCACATGGGCGATTACTCACTCGCTGCCGAACAAGTGTTCGCCATTCTCAGCCCGCACGCTGGGGAACTACCGATTATCAACCCTTCCCGATCCGGAAAGGCGCATAGATATGTCTACGGCACCTGCAATCGCGGTGTGGGGTTCTGGATGGATGGAATTGTCAAGACCGACGTCGAGACGCGGGACGCCCTGATTTGGAGCGGCCCGGTTGGACATACACCCGGCGAACCCATTTTTGTGCCACGACCAGGTGGCACCGATGAAGATGACGGTGTGATCCTCACCGTCGTTCTGGACGGTAGTGCGCAGACATCGTATCTGCTGTGTTTGGATGCCAAAACGCTGCAGGAGTTGGGTAGAGCCGAGACCGACTTCCCGATTCCCATTGGCCTGCATGGTATACATAGCCCCTTGGGCGAACCATCCGTGCCGTCATAGTGTGGGAGGGTGAGCCGCATAGTATGTCTTATTGTTCACCAAAAGGCCTTTTTCTGATTCCAAATTTCGAGGTTCACGTATGCAAGTTAGGAAAATCTGCAGATACCATTCGTTTGAGCGCAAGTAGTGCAATTCTACCTAATGCAGTTGAGAGGTCCTCCCGCCGATGTGACAGCGCAATCATTATATTACCGACCTCCAAATGCTCAAACACCACACCATGCGTTAAACCTTTGGGTCTGTTGTTATATGCCAAGCCGGCTCTCGATATTTGAATACGTCGGTTGTAAGACTGACTTGAAGCAAAGACCCACGTTAACCGATCTCTACTTCCTTAAAAAGTAGTTGACCTGATAGTTCCGACGTCCAAAGGTAAACCAGATGGTGCAAATGAAAAAAGCAACAACTATCAAGACGGCGGACACGTAATTCATCTTCTCTGCCTCGGCAGGAATTTGGTACGGGAAGCAATAGAACACGATGGCCACCACCGTCCAGCCCAACATGATCAAGTTAGCCATCAGGCCCAACCTAGGGTACCAAAATGGCCCATGTCGAAATGTAGACCGGCCTTGTACAAGCAGCAACACGACTGGAGTGCTGTAGCTAATGTACTGCAGGAGCAGTCCTGTCGAGATCAGAGAATTAAAGGCTTGTTCTGACGCGAGGTATAGGCATCCAAACGCTGCGGAAAATGCGGCCGACCAGACAAGAGACCATACTGGCGTGGAAAACGGTTCAGATGCGATTCTTCCCAAATATCGATGAAGCGGAAATCCTCTTTCTCGACTGATGGTCCATGATAGACGAGACTGCCATACCTGAATAGACCACAAAGCTCCGACTATGGCTACCAGAATCGGGATCCAGATCCCCACAGCAACGGCTTTGCTACCACTTATTTTATAAAACAGGATTAGGGCAGAGTTGTCATCGTCTGCGTCAACGGCCGGTATATTCACAAACACGGACGTAATTACCAGGATACCAGATATAAACCCCACGACGATGCTCCACATCAACGCCCTCGGAATATTGGTGCTTGGTGAAGGAATCTCCTCGGCAAGATGTGTCACTAGGTCAAGGCAGCAAAGACTCCAATTGATCCCGCTTAGACCGGTCAAAAAGGCAATCCCGTCTTGCCATCCGCTCGTATTGGATATGGTTATGAAGAACGTCTCTGGGCTTGCGTGTTGGCGCGACGTGGCAAACAGCGTGACAAAGACCACCGCAGCTGATGCAACGCTGACGAATAGGAGTGCCTTGGAGATTTTCGGCAACGCTTGTTCAAAGAATGAGCAAAACATTGTAACCAAGTTCAGAATCTGGAAGACGACGAAGCCCATCCAACGACGGTAGACAAAATCCGGATTTAGGAAGCTGACGACACCAAAGATGCCCACTGACGCCGACAGACATGCGGACGCACCTGTGGCTACAGCACCCAACCAGCTGATCATGGCTGTACTATATGAGAGCCCGCGGCGTATACTTGGCGGCGCGAGCTGATTTACCCATATGTATTGGCCCCCGGGATGTGGCATCGCTGAAGCCAACTCGGCAAGAGAGGAAGCCGTGGCCCATGCAACGACTATCAGGAGTATAAACCCCCAGAAGAAGAGTGGCGAGCCGCCCATGGGGACAGTGCTGCCTAGGATAAGGAGCAGCCCAACGGCCGTGTTGGTTGCTCCATAGCCTGTTCCTATGGCAGAGAGCGTCGTAAAGGCCTTTTGTGTCTGGAAAGAGGTGCCCTTGTTAATGGTGGAGGGCTGGCTACCGTCATGTTCTGCGGTGTCGCTGGTTATAGAACCCGTGTAGTTTTCGCTTGGGGCGTCCATTTGAGCTCAACACAAGACACGGAGTACTGAGTAGCGATGAGGAGACAGAATGTAGGTGAGAACCCGAGCAGACATGTTTGCACTGCGCACGGCGAACTAATAAAGAACGGAAGTATTTGCTTGTAAATGCGGCTTTGCAGGGCTAGCCTTGCACATACAGTCAGATTGAGAAACACGGGAGCCATGACGATAGATACGATTGGAATATGCGGTTGAAGTTTCATCAAGTGTAACCGTGCTGCGCTTGATGTGGGTTCAGATCTCGCAGATGCCAATCAGTCGGCCGTGGAGGTTCCAGACAAGAAGTACGTGTCGATGAGTGAATCCCTGCAGGTCCATTCTTGGCGAGATGAATCCTCTCCCGTGTCTGACACTTTTCTCACTGCTAGATGAGCTTCTCAGATTGCGATTTCCCGGAAATACTATGGAGTGCACGTCTGCCCTTGTGCCTCATGGTAGATGGTGGTCTGGTCCACGACATCATGTACGCTATGCGAGTTGCCTGGTCTTATATGCAGCGTCGACTGATAATGATGAGCCTAGTAGCAGAGAATCATGGCACTGTCAATCTACCTCCTGGCGGCGGCACTTTCGAAAAAGGAAGATGGTCTCACAAAGAGGCAGCATGCAGTACTATCATGAACGGCGCCAAGTTTGGAGGACACGACACACATGTACTTGTCTGTGGGCTTTGGTAACAGTGCAACCTGCCATGCCGTCTTGCTAGCGCTACACATTTCCCACTTTGCAAAGTCGACATGTTGGCTGTACAACTTGCGAAAAGACAGCAAGCTTTTGTACTCGGCCTGTCGGCGCTGGTATTGCAAATACTCGTGCAGAAGGCATGGTGCTGGTGTTGACAAAAGCGCTGGTTCGGTGGCGCTAGAGCAGTTATATTTTATTCATAATGGGCGATGGGGTTTTGGGGAATCGCTACCCGGCAACTATTTTGTTTGCGCCGATGTCCTATATCTACCGAGTATGCTCAATTCCATGGAGGCGAAGACAAGTGTCGCGTATATCGACCATCTCTGCAACCAATGACCCAAATGCGGCAAAGGCTTTGCGGGTTAGTCCATCACTGGGAGTGGTGTGCCTGTCGAGTATGTTCCTGAATATGTACTAATCTGATCTGGACTTCATCTTTCCTACATACGTATGCGAAAAATATTCTAGGGACGCTCCGGGGGACAAAATCGACTTGCCGGTACCGGAAAACGATAAGGATTGAACCATGGGCTTTCACAAGTGGCGCCCGGTCGGTGTTGTGGCACAAGACAGCATCGACATTATAAAAGACCGGCGTCAACGGCGGCGTGGGTCATGATTGAAACAGCCTGATGGCTTTATCTTCCGGGCTACCAAGTAGCGGGTATGGTCAACCACCAAGGAATTGCCACAATCTCGATAGTCGATGGTCCTTGGTTACCTCCGCACTTACGGCTCCAATTCGCGGGGGACAGGGCAGCCCTTGTACATCCGCTGTCGTGTTGTACTGGTTTCCACATGCGGTAGGATCGACATCTAGACGCAAGCTGCGGAGACGGGAGTCGCGGGCCAGATGGGCAATATTTGGCGATAACAACATGACACTGTTGTGGCTTGTGAGACTAGCTACCAAACAAGCGACTATAAAAAGTCGCCAGGTCTCCGCGCATCACAATCCAACAATCCGACCATTCTGTTGAACCGGATTGCCAGATTGCACCGATGGAGGGCTCTGGTGCCTCGTCTGGGAAACCGGCTTGCGCCATGGATCACAAAGCCACCCACAACCCGGAAGCAGCCGTGTCATCTGCAGCAGACGCCGAGTACATCAATGCGTCTGGACACGTTCAGGAACTCCGTCGAAACTTCAGCCTCTTCTCTTTGGCTGGAATCGGCCTGGTCGTGGGCAATGTGTGGCCGGCCATCGGTGGTTCTATCCTGGTGGCCATCTTCAACGGCGGACCACCGGGCGTTCTCTACGAGTTCATGGCCGTCTCCGTCTGCTACTGGAACGTGGCCGCCAGCATTGCCGAGCTCGCCAGCTCCATGCCGTCGTCGGCCGGCGTGTACCACTGGGCCTCGGTGACGCCTGGGAAGCGCTGGGGCAGGCCGCTTGGCTTCTTTGCCGGGTGGTGGAATTACTTCGCCTGGCTGCTGGGCGCCGCGAGCATGACGTCCATCTTTGGCAATACCATTGTGCAAATGTACGCCGTCATGCATCCCGGCTTCGTGGCCAAGCAATGGCACGTCTTTGTCGCCTACGTCCTCTTCACCTGGCTCGCCTGCCTCTCCGTCATCTTTGGCAACCGCCTGATGCCGGGGCTGAACCGCGCCGGCGCCTTTTGCATAGTCGCCTTCTTCCTGATCACCGTCGTCGTCGTCACAACCGTGCCCGGGCTGGAGGGCCACCCCGGCCACGCCTCGTCGGCGTTTGTGTGGACACAGTGGACGGCAGACATTGGCTATCCCGACGGATTTGTCTTCCTGGCGGGCATGCTCAACGGCGCGTACAGCGTTGGGCCGGTCGACGCCGTGACGCACCTGGCCGAGGAGATTCCGCACCCAGAGAGGAACGTGCCGCTCGCCATTGCCATGCAGGTGTCGATTGGGTTCGTGACCGGGCTTGCGTACCTGGTGGCGGTCCTGTACGCCATCAACGACTACGACGGGCTGCTGCAGTCGCAGTATCCCATTGCCGAGATATACCGACAGGCCACGGGCTCCAACGCGGGCGCGTGTGCCCTGCTGTCCATGATCCTCGTCACGATATCCTTCACCGTGCTGGGGCTGCACATTACATGCGGCCGGACTCTCTGGGCGCTGGCCCGCGACGGAGCCACGCCCATGCAGGACAAGCTCATGCAGATTAGTCCCAGGCAGCATATACCCGTCTACACGACCGTTGTTTCTGCCGTCCTGACGACCCTTCTTGGCGCCATCTACGTTGGGAGCACGACTGCCTTTAACGCCTTTGTCAGCGGCTTCATCCTGCTCTCCAGCAGCTCGTTTGTCGCTTGCATCTTGCCAAATATCCTGACGGGGAGGAAGAACATGCGCTACGGGCCCTTTAGACTCGGGAGAGTTGTCGGGTTCCTTGTCAATGGCGTTTCTTGTCTTTATCTGCTGGTCTGGGGCGTCATTTACACGTTTCCGCCGACTCTGCCCACCAGTGCGGAAACCATGAACTACTCGTCTCTGATTTGGGGAGGGCTTACTATTTTCGTGGCCGTTTTGTGGTTTTTCAAAGCTAGTAAGGGCTATCGCGGGCCGTTGCAGGACGATCTGTGAAGTTGGTCTAGAGGTACTTTACGTTTTAATCTCATGCCAGGATACTTTTACAAAGGCACCAAGTCTATTTGTGAGAAAATTGTCGTGTCATAGTCTCGAGCTGGCTACTCGACTCGTTGCAGTCTTGCCGTCTGTCTAGTACGGCTGCTAACCAAGTATTCAATGGGCGTGCGGTAAATGGAAACGCAGTCGTGCAGAACGACCGTCGCAATTCGTAGTGATCACCGGATACCTTGTAACACTGTAGTTTCCGTAGCAATATCACGACATCACAAGACTAGCGTGTAAGAGTTATTATGGTCGTCATTGCGAGATTATATTAGAGCCTAGAATTAATGTGGCTTTCATCTTGTTTTCTAATAATATTAGCAGAATGATTTTCAATAAACTTGGGGTAAAACAGCATTCTTAATGAATGATACACCGGGAAGAAGCCTTGCTACTAGCATTTCCGCACCATGTACACATGGGCTGCCAAACGATCACCGAAAGCACAAGGCAATAGCCGTCTTTTATCCTGTCAAACCAAAACCACACAACGCTTGAATCGACATCATCTCCAGCCTCGAAACTAGCTCCATTACCATTATCCACGCCATCTCTACAACTTTAATCTACTAGCACTTAACCTATTATAATTCGCGCCAAGATACTCTTCCCCCGGCCCCGGAATATGCAATTCCTCCCTGGAATACCTCCCCCTCCACGGCTTATTGTTGGCCTCTTCAAAAAAGTAATGCTGCAGCTCCGGCTCGTACGACACCCTCCAGGGGACGACGAGGTCCCTGCCCACCGGGCCGCTCCCGCAGCTCCCCTGGATCTGGGCACTGGGGGGACTATTCAGCGCCAGGGCAAACAGGGTCTTTGGCTCGGTGAAGTCGGTGATGACCCCGCCGTTGAGGAGCATGTACAGGATGCAGAACAGGCTGAGCGCCGGCACGATGAAGAGCACAATGTACCAGGCCTTCTGCCATGGCAGGGTGTGGCCGGCGGCGTACTCTGTTGTTTGGAGCTTGGCTTGGAACTCTTGCGTGGCGGCAGCGTCGAGCATCTTGGTGGGATGGTCCCAGCCGTGGTGGAAGGGCGAGTCGATGGCGCTCATGACGACGGTCGAGGCGAGATACGCGGACAGGGCTTCGGCAATGGTGGGAAAGTGCGGGTCAATCTTGGCTTCTTTGAGGATGAGCTGTGAGAGGGTTCGGGCGTTGGAGCCGTTGTTTACGCGAAGCCCGCCGTTGACGTCCATGGACGTGGACCAGTTTTGGGCCACATCCTAGTTGGGATATTCTGGTTAGTATTTACAATGGTATGGGGTGTCGACGGGGAATACGGGGGCAAGAACGTACGGTCCAACCTAGTTGTAGTGTAGGGGGGTCCTTGGATGGTGGATGGATGCGGTTGTAGGCAGTTTCGTCGTTGGGGTTCTCGCACATGGCTTTCAAGGAAGCGCCATGCGTGCCGGAGATGAGAATCTGAGTCGAGCAAACATCTGACAGCCACGATTGTGCCTCACAAAGAGTGTAGTCTTCAATGTCTAGGCTTTTGATGAGAATGTAAACGCTTCCGGACCCATTGATGGACATGTTTGACACCATATTCATGACCGGCGGAAACTGTGCTCATGGTTGTCAGCGTGCTGGCGGTGTACCACAACCGTCTTCACTTACCGTCGACAGTATGGGTGGCGTTCGTCCGTACTTGGGACCCCATTTGAATAAATCGTCTACCACGGTTTTGTTTGGAACATTGTCCTTCTTTCCAGCCTCACCCCAAGGAGGGTAGTCGGCTCTAAAGCCATCCGCTGGCACCACGTACCCTTTCACTAGTTTGTAATCTTTCTTACTATTTGGCCACGACATGTAGACCAAGGGTGCGATTTCCTCCTTCTTCATATTGACACACATGACGTTGACAGTGGGCGACACGACACTGGCATTAATGGCCACGTCTCCGACAAAGCCGTCCTGCAGGCGCGGCATTTGATTCCTCTGCAGCTCGGCCGCACTGAGAACGCCAGGGTGCGGCATAGCCATGGTGACATTGTCAATAATGCGGCCGTATTTCGCAAAGTTGGCCGTCACGTTGCGGTGCTGCGTCTCGATCCACGCCGTTTCCATGGTCTTATTCCCGTTCAGCAAACTCGACGGCGTCGGCCGCTTGGCCAACGGCCGAGCAAGCTTCTTAAAGTCCAGCCAGCGCTGCATAAAGCCCAGCAAATCCGTGTACGACTGGCCGCAAAACTCTATACTCGTACACCCCCAGCCGTCCTTGCCATCGGGGTCGTCCTTCCCATAGAGAATCGGGCATTTCGTCATGCCGTAGGACATATTCCCGTACGAGGTGTACACTTCGCCTTTTAGGGTTTTGGACTGGACGGGCATTTGCTTCAGCTTGGGAGCAACCATGGTGGAGATTGCCGTCGTGTAGAAGAGCACCCCGAGCGTCGCGACGAGGGTCAGAAATCCAAGCAGGGACCGTATCGAGAACCACGTCGACTTGTACTGGAAGGCCATTGTGCCTGGAGAGTTGATCCAACTCTTCATGTCCATCTCGGCAAGCGTGACGCCCTTGGTCATGCGGGAGACGGATCGCCTGCTTAGCGCTTGGCCGAGGCAAAATACAAACGCGACGGCAAAGGAGATTTCGACCGTCTTTCCTACAAACGAAACGAAGGTTATTGCCGTAGAAATCTTCGGGCCGACCAGGCCAATGGCAGACACGGCAGGTTGCCGAATAGATATGGCAAATAAGATGCTACCCATAACTAGGGAATACACAGCGGCAAGCATCATCAGTAGGTTTTTTCTCTTATGCCAAATGTCCGTTTGGGCCCTGCAGTATCTTGGGGGTGCGCCTATCCATGTGTTAATATCAAGCTACCTCAGCCTCTTGAATACTTCTCAGCGACTCACTAAATCTCTTGTTAAATGCTTCAGTGTCGTAATCCTCTTTCCCAGACTCCATGTCCGTTGAAGGGCTTTTATGGAGGATACCCATGGGCGTATTCGGGGCCGGAGAATATGCAAAAGGACTCGCATTCTGTCTCAGCGAAGCCGTCTCCTCGTTGACCTTTTTAGACATGAGTCTTTCGAACATGCTCGTCGATCTATGACCCGCCCACGGAGACCCCCCCGGTGACCTCCCGTTCGAGCTTGCCGGAGAGTCGAGCAGGCCTTTGCCGGAATCCGGCGAGGCCGCTTCCGAAGAGGACGTGACGTCGGGGGACTTGTCTACGCCAGACACCCTGCGGACTCTGACGGCCCTGGCTCTTTGATCTGGGAAGATGCCCAGGCTGTTGATTGTGTTGGACGGAGAGCTGGCCTCCTCGTGGATGGAGTCGTCGTCTCCATTGCCGAGATCCAAGTGTTCATACCCGCTGGTGTTAAACACATTGGTCACCTGGGGTGGGTTGGGCAGCCGGATAGGCGAGATATTGAATTCCTCGTCTTCCTCTGGGGAATTTAAAGGCGGGCGGTTGTACGCCATTGTTGCCGGGGCTTCACGGCAGCCAAATTATAGTTGTGGATGAGGCGAAGCCAAGAAATTTGCTCGTTTTGCTCATTAAGCGTTGGCGAGTAAACAAGAGAATTGCCGTTTCAACTCTCTAAAGCCAGCAACTTCAACTTATTCGTATACAAAACTGAGAAACATGCAAGGAGCGTTGAAACGCCAGGAGGAACACCGTGTATTATACTCGTCCCCTCTACAGGTTGAACTTCCAGCCTCTTGATGGGATTACAAGTGGTCAAGACGCATGAGCGCCAACACCCCGTACAAAGGTGAGGTGGAAATTGCCACTTGCAGAACAGACTGATGCAGAACAAAGCAGGCTGGAAGCAGTGTGTGTTCTAGTGCGGACGCAAAGAGTCCTCATCTCACCACCACGCATGTAGCACAAAAGAAGAGCCACGTTCTGCTCGTGGCAACAATGGCCCAGCAAGCCTCCCCAGCACACCGGCTCTCTGGCGAAATACAACGCCTGCCTTGCCGTCCGGTGCGCTCCCCGAGACAACAGCGGCTGCAAGTCGTGTCCATTGCACTACGTGAAATAACCTACGGAGTACGGAGTACACGGTGTAGCCTGCACATGAAAACCCTGCAGGTGGCCCAAAGGAAAGCAAGCTCATGCATGGTTGGTAACACAAGGGCAAAGGGTCCGTCATCTCCACACAATCCCTCGAGCACATGTCTCTCTGCGTTGTGAAACATGCGTCAAGTATCTGATGATGAAGGGCTCGAGTCTGTCATCTCCATCATGTCACGACGCCCAGCTCGAACGAGGCAGCGAATCAAGGCGATTCCGACTCTTCTGCCCGACCAGCCTTAAGGAAACAGTGTGGGCAGCGCCAGCCAGCAAAGACTTATTTTTGGCAACGGTACGGAGCAGTTCCAAGACAATATACGAAGTAAAGTCTTGAAATTTCTGTGCCCGGGTACCTTCAAGCTCTTCAGCTTCTCCAAGGTTGCGCGGCGCCCGCAATCTCACCCATTTTCGTTGATCAGCTTCCAGACAGAACAATGGAAACGCACTGTCTCACTTTTTTTCGACCGGGAGAAAAGAAAAGAGCGTCGATTGGATACCGCGTTTCTAAATAAAGTGTCTGGTTGGCCGCCGGGACTTGTCCGCCCGCCCGCAGCTACGCCGTAGACAGCCGGGGAGAGCGGACGCCGTGTTACACGATGAATTTGATGGCCAACTTGCAGCCCAGAGCGGCGGCTGTTGTCGCTGTTGTGTCCCAATTATTCTGCACTCCTCTGCTATCAAGTCATCCTGATGGGGATGGTACCGAGTACGACAGTGCTGCCCGACGTCTGAATGCGTACACGCCGCGCAACGTCACTTCTCGATAAACAGCATTTGGTACCTTTTCCAGCCTCGTAAACTCTACATCTTCTGCGAGGACTGTCGATGCTCAAATGTGCATGGTCAGCATCCATCGACATGATCCAATCGCTCGGCCAATCGAGGGGCAACCATCGGCCGCGCAACAGATACAACTCGACATTGCACGAATGGAGCAGTGGGCACGCTGACCATGGCTCAAGCCTTGACTTTGGTATTGTGAGCCCTGCCCGGATTGAGTACATAACTTGTTCCAAACCCGGGGTAAGCATGGAGAACAACACGTGTTGGCAAACCGGCTTGTCCTCGGGTTTGAGGAGGGCCCGGCAGAGCCTCAACTTGTCGGTTCCAACCGACCCAGAACCAGAATTCGACCCATCGCGGTTGTAGCGCTGTACTCAAAGTACGGAGTAGTACCAGTTGACGGAGTACTCATGGTAACGCCGTGCCATGTTTCTCCACGCGCTTTTGACAGGTCATCTGTAGCTGGGGTCCAAGGCGACCAGCGTCACACCAGGCGTTCTGGCTGGCACCCTTCCACGAGTCTTGTGTACTGCTTATCCGACTAGTCTTTTCCTGTTCTTATCAGAAGGCTTATTCAGGATCATGAGCAGGCTCAAGTAACTTCTTGGTAGCAGGGGTGTAACTACTCGCCGTTGGTAACCATGTGGTCCAGTTGAGGAAGTTGTTGTAACTGGGAATTCTTCAACGGGGTGATGATGCTTCCAGCGAACTCGAAAGCATCCAAAAATGGATACGTCATCAACAGAAAAGAATAGGTGTGTCAACGGCTGATAGCTCGCCCGCAGAAAGATCGCCACAGGACTATACGACCTCCTTTTTGGCAGCCCAACACGCCATCATGGAACCTCACGCGATCACTATTCAAGACAGAGATAATTTTAGGAACAGCGTAGCAAATTCGCAAATTCGGTCATGTTTGCGCTCCTCGATCCCATCATCAACCACGTCGTACTTCACCCTGCCGCCACGAATCATCTCAGCCTCCACCCATCTTGGGCAACGTCTGAGTTTCTTGTCCCCAATCTCCTCTGTCGGCGTTGCATCCCTTGGAGTTTCGTCTGATCCGTCTTTTCTCTCAACGCCGCGTCTGGTGGCTTTTGTCACTGATCCGGCATCTGGATTACGACAAACAGCGGCGTGACGGCGTCCATGTCCATTTTCCACCCATCGAATGGTTCATGATGCATGTCGAGATCAGCACATTTCTCAGACTAAGGCAGTTCCTCTTCTCCCTTGTTGCCAAATCCATACTTACTTTTTTTTCCTTTTTGCCACGTTTCGTGTCGCCATCCATCATCATCAGCCTTGCCACCCTGGCCACTGTAAGACTTGTAATCCTTGGTGCCTCTCATTTGATCAACAGCACCAATTCCACATTCCTGAGCCAAGAGAAATTTTATCCTCTTCACTCCAGCCTCGGCCTCGTCCCCCGAGCATCAGCATCAGCACCAGCCCCCAAACCAGGCCTCTCTCACCCTTTCGACCTCCGCGGCCCTTTCTCCTTTTCACGCGTTTTTTTTCGTTTGCCCTTAAACATCTTCCTTCTTGTCAACCTCATTTTTTCTTGACCAGTATTTACTTCTCGGTTTGGAAAGAGGGTACGTCAGTCTAACACAGGCTAACCCGGGCTAATGTTGCTTCATAGTCTTGCGAAGCATGTCCTCCATGGGCATACGGTATCAGTTGGGAACCAACTACAGCTAAGCACTGTCGTCATGCTCAACCTCTCAACCTTTGCATGCACGGGTCTTGGGGTGCGAGGTTGGGGCAAAAGGACACTTGGCTATGGATGAAGTTGTCCCTAGACCTAGTCTTGCAAACGTAGAAGCCGAGTCAGAGTATATATTGACCTTGAAAGCTCGTGAAGTATCCGGTGACTGGATACGACAGCACAAAGGTCATATAGCTGACTTTCCCACTTTGAAGCAAAAGGATGTGTCCTAGTCGTGGCCTCGACCCAGGCACTAAACATTCATCATCGTCCAGATCTGAACGACCGTCCAGTCCCCTCAAGACATGCGCCTTCTCTCAATAAGTTAGAACTTGCGTAGTTCATGCATTGCATTCCACCAAAAACAATTGTTCGACACCCAACTAGTGTCCCAGCTTTCCAGCGCACTCTGCAGTCCGTTCCTTGGATCCATCACCTAGCCCCGTCGCTAATGTCGCTCCGGCTCGTTCCTAAACACTTCCTCTATACGCCCTTTCACCTCTCACCACATGTCTGGGGTGTAAGGGTGTAAATAGATGGCAAATATACGTACATCACAGAGTGTGTTGCAAGCATCTGCCCCCTCCCCCTTCCATGCAATGTCATGGGGTAAAGTAACTACCAGTAAGGGTTAGGGTTGTAGTTATCGCGGCGCAAACCCCCCCTCCCCCTTTTTTTTTCACATGCAACGACGATGTATACTCCATGTACACATCTAGGCTCTGGCGTAGCCTCTCAAGAAGAAACAACCAATAAAGCCCAGTCACCACGCGACACGGACGGAAGCGCCATCAACAGCATCTCAGGCGCGCCGAGCATCAAGTGCTGACCCTATAATTACTAGGCCAAGCAAATGAGCCGTTGTTAGTAGCATCCCGCGTCAAGGCTCGGCTAAACTAACCAGACTTGTAATGTCAATCGATACACGACTTACAATCACATGGGACGGTACGCTAACGCAATATGGGAAAAGCAACTCGAACCCTGACTAGACTTTTCAACGCACGGGACCTACATGGCCCATCAATCCCTACTGCTACGTCGGCTTCGCTAGTCTGGGCGTGTGCTACAATTCCCAGCGGCTTGCCTTGCACGTGGCTCGTTTCGTTTCAAAGTGTAAAAGCCTTGTTACAACCTCATTCGACCATCGCTGTATACTTCAAGTCAGTACCGTTGCGTCAGTCCGCTCCACAAGCCATCCCCCTTCAAGACACATCATCATCTGGTCCCTACTTCATCGCTCGCATCATATCCCCATGTACCACTTGCAAGTACCATCAGTCATTCACAAGCAATCAAGACTTGATACGGGAATAAGCTTAATCATTGATTCTCGCGCTATCGCACTCAATTGCCCAATCCATCATCCGCTTCTGTCTGTCCATTTTGCCACAAAATTCCTCTCTCTTGAACCATCAACTCTTGTTGCCAGTCATCACTGTTTTCCACCGCATACAGCAGTTCCCCTGAACATGTCAGGGGGAACCCGAGCACACCATCCATTTCTTTTTCCGTTCGCTTGCTGTACCTGATTGCTTCGGCTCCCTCTGTCTAATCCAGCGCGCGTCACCGTCGTCATCGAATAATACAAAATAAAAAGAGTGAGAATCGTCCATATTTCGTGCTCGTCCGCGCGGGGCTTTTGTCTCCTTGCTGGTCTCCAAATACTTTTTTTTTTCATTTCCCACTGTCCTCAAACGTCCCTTTTCTTCCTTTTCTTGCGTTCCCCACCACCAATGATTATACGCGCCCTTGTTTCAAATTCTCGGTTGCCAACTGCTGCCATATTATGCTTGGTGCAATCATAAGTCTCTGCAGCTTGGAATTTGAAACACCCAGAGGTTCATGAGCACCCATAGAGAAGGAGTCACTCAGTGTCCAGGCACCAAACAGTACAAGCGGCAGATT